AGAGAAAATGATCAAAATGGTCCTTAATGTATGGGCTTTGATTCCATTTGGTCCTTAATGTATGGACTTGATGGAAATGGTCCTTTATGTATCATAAATTGTGATCAATTTGGTCCTTAACCTTAAAATTTTAATGGCAGCGATTATTTAAATTTTTTTAAAACTAAAATCGCTACACGTTAATTCACAGTAGCGATATTAAAGAAAAAAGAAAAAAAAAATTGGACCGGCAGCGATTTTTATGTTTTTTAAAGGAGTAACGGCGTCAATTTTGTCAGAAGAAAATCGCTCCGTCAAGAGCGATTTTGCTCTTTTGGTTAAAAAAAATTGATGTGCCCTTTTGGAATGAAGAAAATCGCTCCGTCAAGAGCGATTTTGCTCTTTTGGTTAAAAAAATTTGATGTGCCCTTTTGGAATTTTTGGAAACAGGAGGAGGAAAGTCTTGAACGAGCGCATCTTTTACATATTTCGTGTATTTTGACGGCAAAAAAAAAAGAAATATATTAATTTTAGGGTTAAGGACCAAATTGATCACAGTTTATGATACATAAAGGACCATTTCCATCAAGTCCATACATTAAGGACCAAATGGAATCAAAGTCATACATTAAGGACCATTTTGATCATTTTCTCTTATATAAAGCAAGGTACTCCTTCAGCAAATTTGATAGAATTACTATAAATCATTGTTCATTATGACTACCTTTGAACATATATATTGAAAGAATGAAGATGAATTGCTTGGAGCTTTAGAATATCTGATTCCTATTTTGAATATATCAGCTCAGAAATTGATGTGAATCCACCATATTGTTCAATAAAGTGTTGCATGTTTTTTAACATATGGGAATAAGGTATGTCTCTTAAATTGCACTTACGTATTTGTAGAAATCAGCTAATAGTGTGCTGTTTAGATTTTGTATGCAGTAAAGTTAACTTTAATGATCCTTCTGTTACTAATGAATGTTAAACTATAAGTCAGAGAATATAAAATACACATTAAGACAACATGTAGAGGATTAACAACATAAATTTAAAAACAACCCCACAAACACACACACACACACATATATATATATAGAGAGAGAATGATAGATAGATATAGATTGAGAGAGAGAGAGAGATATAAATAAAGAAGACGAACTTAATAGCTTGAATTTATATAATAAACTACATAGATCATCCAACTACCTTATTAAAACATAAATATTAAAATAATAAACTAAACTTAATACAACCTAAATTAAAACATAATCTTCCAATAACTTTTCAAATTTGGAAGATAGCTTTAGGTGTTCTTTTCCTTCTTAATCACTTTGCGAATTTTGTTGCTGGGTTGTTTGACATTCAAATCGTCTTTAATTTCATGCCTTGTAGATTTTTCAGCAGCTATGCTACTCTTGGTAGATATCTTTGTAGTTAAATCAATCACATCTTCAGTAATTAATGTACCACACTCTGAAATGTTGCTCTTGATTGGAGTCTAAAATTAAAATAACATAAAGATTATAAGTACTTCAAGTGTTTTCAATCTGATTAGTAATATAGAAGATGTAACTTATCTAAAGTTAGAATACCTCAAAGAGTTGATCTTCATCATAGCTTTGCTCACATTCAAAAAGTGATTTCTGTTTGAACATTATAAACATAATTAACAATTTATACAAAAGTTAAAAATTTGTATGTATAATGTAAACAAATATGTTGGTGTTTAAACACTTACATTAAGACTGTCCTGAAGATCAGGATGACAAAATTCCTTTAAAAGAGTATCATCATCCGTGAAATTAACAACTTTATAGACATTATCTTTTCTGTTGATGTTTGAGTCCTTGATCAAAATCTTAAACATAAATTTCTTCTCCATTAAATCACCAAGCTCGGTTGGATAAGAACTTTCGGCATCTTCAAGTAATCCTTCTTTCAACTCTTTTGCAGTTTTACCAAGTAGTTGTATAGTCTCTTTATTCCAAAGAAATATTGAAATAAATGCAGTGCCATCCATAACAGACAGTTGTAGCCTGTATCTAAATAGCATAATATTTTGTGTTATATAATCTACATAAAAATAATTTTAATTAGTTTGATTTTTTATACAAACCTGTGAATAACAGATTTAACTTCAGAATTGCATTTTTTACAATAATATTTGGTTCCCTCTGTATCAACCTTTGTAAAACAATTGTTGCAAGCCAAATATATATGACCATCCATGGTCAAGTTCCAAATAGACGATTTTTGCAGCAATCCAAAAGGAAGATTCCTTTGAATTAAAAATTAAAATAACATAACAATTAAGTTAAATAGACCAATTATACATTAAATATGTAAATATATAGTGAGAAAATTTAAAATAGATTAGTACACTCACCTCGTAGCATTGAATCAAATCAGAAAGATATGTAAAAGATACAACACCTTTAGACAACTCATCAGTAATAGAATGATGTTTTGAGAACTTGTCTGGGAGAGCCTCTCATATTTATAATCACATGATGAAATCAATTTGCAAAAAAATCATGACATATAGTTTTGCTATAATTTAGAATTATTATTAAGCAAAAGAAGAATTAACTACATTGCAAATGTTGAGAAACATGCCTAAAGCAAAACTAAATAATTTTCTAACCTGTATTTGAATTCAGTAGGCTGAGGAAGATTAGGATTAATCCATATTTTGGTTTGATACCAACAATTACGTACTGAGTAATTTTCTGATGATTGATATTAAACAATGTCAAAAAATTATACTAATTAAATTTGTATTTTATATACAATTGCTGCAATTACAATGTTTAAACCTCTAAATTTGTGAGTCTTCATTAATTGACAAACCACAATCAAAAGTTCATCTGCAAATCCCGTCAAATGTGGTTGTATTTGGTCCGCAAGTTCACCCCATAATGTTGTTGACAGTCTATTTTTACTGTATGAATGGAATTTAATTACATTTTAATATATAAAAAAATATATATCTATATATAAAAGGATAAAATGAATTAAAAATAATTACTTATCATCTTCTAGAACAATATTGATGAAATAACTAGTGTTATCTCCTTGCTTTATCTGTTGAATTGGTTGATATGAAGCAACATGTCCAACAACATCTGCAAATAAAATACATTATTAATATATTGTAAATTTAAAATCTATGAATGGAATAACATATCATTATTACCCAAAAGCTCAGTCTCATCAACATTGTGATGAATTGTCAATTAGTCAAAGGTGCGGATATTGAATATATCCATATGAAAAGAAGGATCTTGAATTTCCTTAACATTTGTAGTCACAGTGAAGTTAAGCTTGTGTTTGTGTGTTGTTGTCTTAAATTTCATGATGTTTGGGGAAATCACAAAGTAATTCATCCGAAAAACACCAAGTTCATATAGAATTTCTTTGAAATGCTTAATTACTGTCTTTCCAAGTGATGCATGAATACGATCACCCTGTAATAAAATAAAATATTATTTTATGATAATTGTTTTCAAGTATATAAAAACTATTTGTATGAGTGGTACCTTTTCATCATGTAAAATCATCTCCAAAGAGTAAGGTATTTCTGGTTTGAATTTATCAGGAACTATCCACAATCGAATAACACGAACTTTTAAGTTCCAGTGCATTGATTTAGATGTAATTTCTGAGATTGTGTGAAAGTGCAAAGCCATCTATATTACTGAATATCGCAGAACAATCGACGAACAATGTAAAGGTATGTAAAGTTATTACTGAAAGATGTCTATTTATAGTAGGGAAATTTATAGATGCAGTAAATAATTGCAGTTTAAGTTTCCTTGTTTATTGGATGGTTATTGAGAAATTATAAAACTGCTTGTATTTATCTGTTAAAATATATTTATTGTTTGGTATAAATTATAAATACAAAATAATGATATATTAAGCTTTTGTAATTAAAATTATGTATCTTCTGATTTTGAGGCTGCCTCGATCCAGTTAACCATGATAGTTGAGTTATTTAAGTTTCATTGTGAAGCTCTTCATGCGCTATTATGGAAATTTTCTTAAGTTTTGTCTCTCAGGCCAAGTAGGTGTTCAGAACAACATTAAATTTGTACATTGGTGATTATGTTTATAATGTCTTATCAAATATTGCTTGGTATCTATCTTGGTTATGTGTTTTATAACATATGATGTCACAGTCGAATATTTTTGTATATATTAATTTAAAATTTAAGCTTTTGTAATTAAAATTAAGTATTTGTAAATAGATGATGTAATAGTTAAATAATAATTTGTAACTAATTATTTATAAATTTTTTTAAAAAATTGTTGTGTAACTACCGCAGAATCTATCAACTTGTTTTGTAATTAATTATTAAATTTTTTTTAAAAAAAACTGTTGAGTAACTACCCCAAAATCTATCAAATTGTAATTATTTAAATAATTATTTATTACTGATTATTTAAAATTTAAAATTCTAAAAAATCGTGGTAATGACATGTGTCATTTTTTCTTCTCCTTTTATATATAGATAGATATATACTCTCCTATTATATATATATAGAGAGATTATTATTATTATATAAATATTTTAAAGATAATATATTATTATTATTTTTAAATTAATTGTGGTACTGACATGTGGCACTATCACCTCTTCAATTATAAATATGCAGATTATTATTATTATTATTATTTATTTAATTGTTTTAAAAAAACGAGAAATTAAAGACTATAACATGTCTTCTAAAACTGTAACGTTTTTTAAATTAAAAAAAACTAATTTTAATTGGTTAAAAAACTGTAACTTTTCTTTTAAAACAGTAACTTTTTTTTCTTTATTAAAATATTGAATTAATTCTATTTAATTAGTTGATAATTTAAAAGTTAAAATTAGAGATTAATTGTAGTGTTGACATGTAGGCGCTATCACCTCTCCTATTATATATATATATAATTTTTGTAATTTGTTTTTTGAATTTTGAATTTGAAATATTTAAAAAGATGATACTTGACCGTTTAAAAGTATTTTTTCTTTTCTTTAACAAAAAAAAGGGAAGTTAGTATAATTTTAAAAAAATATTTTCTACCTCAAATTTTGGTAGAGTTATTTTTCCCTAAATATTTTTCATCTTTGTTTATTTTAACAAATTATTATCTATCTATATATATATATTAGGAGAGGTGATAACGCTTACGTGTCAGTACCACAAAAATCATATTTTTTTTAAATAATTAAAATTATTTTTAAAAAATAATTTTAAATCAGTTCTAGAAAATAGGAAATAACTGTAAATTTGTATTTTTTTTTAAAAACTCTAGAAAGTAAGTATGTGGTCCTTTTTTTTGGAAATGTATTTTTAAATTTTTACCATCTTTCCACAACCTCCTCAATCCTCATTTAAAGAAAAACAAATGTATATATATATATATATATATATATATATATTGATAGCGCTTACGTGTCAGCACCACAAAAATCAATTTTTTTTAAATAATTAAAATTATTTTAAATTTTTTTTTAATCAATTCTAGAAAAAATAGGAAATAACTGTAAATTTGTATTTATTATTTTTTTAAAAAACTCTAGAAAGTAACGTATGTGGTCCTTTTTTTTGGAAAGGTATTTTTAAATTTTTACCATCTTTCCACAACCTCCTCATTTAAAGAAAACAAATGTAGAGAAAAATAATAATAATAATAATAATAATAATAATAATAAGAAAAATCTCTCTCTCTCTCTCTCTCTATATATATAATAGGAGAAGAAAAAATGCTACATGACAGCGCCACAAATTTTTAGAATTTTAAATAATAAATAATTAAATATTATAAATTCAAAATTTGAAATAAAATAGACACGTGTCAATACACAAATAATGAAAGCTGTACATTTTTTTAAAACAGATTTAATATTTTTTTAAATCCAATTTATAAATTGGTAAAAAAATATAGAGCAAACTACATAAATCCCACTAGTTTAGTACCTAATTACTAGGTTTCAAGATAGTTTTGATAATTACATCCTATACCATATTTTGTCCGTTGGATACATGTATCATTACTCGTCATATACATGTATCTGACGGTTTGAATTAAAGAGATACATGTTTTAATATTTTGGATTAAATGTGTGTAACTAATTTCCTTAAATAAAGAAGTAATTTAGGCTTAAATAACAACTCTAATTGATTTACAGATTCATTAACATATCAATTCTAACAAATCTTAAAACCACAATAATTCTCTAATTGAAAACTTCTTCTTCTTGGCAACAATTCTTCTTTTGTTTCTTGGCGTTTGATTATTTTTTCTTTTCATAATGGTCAATATCACCATAAAAACCGATGGAATACTTTTCAAGGATAATGCTACTTACTGTAGACACGTAATTTTTGATCGAACTCAATGTTTTACACAAATTTTAGTAGTTAAATATTTCTTTTACGTTTAAATTAAATATTTTGGTTTTATCATATTTTAGTAAGTTTAGTGTAAAAATATTTGAAAACCATAAAATAGAGTCATGTTTTAAGTTAAGTTTTGTTTTCAATTTATTGCAAAAGAGAAGAAAATGTTCAAAAAATATATGTTTTCATATTTAATAAATAAACTAGTGTTTCATAATTTTTTATACATATATATATATATATATATATATATGTATTTTGAATTTACCAGCTTTGATCTTTTCAAGTGCTTCATATAGAGGCTTTTTCCGCTTTTCCAGTAACCACTGCAAATGAAAATCATTCAGATCGATCTAGTAAAAGAAAACAAACAAGTTATATAGTAATAAGAACTTACGTACGTACCTCTCCAATATGATGAATAATTTGTTCAATAAAAATGGAAATAGCGAGCAAGATGAAGCAAACCACAGCAATCGCCCAAGTAGGGGTTGCCTCCATCGACCGTTCTTTAGCCATCAATTCGATACACAAATCAATTAACTCTATAGTACTGTTAAAAGGATATATTTTCTTCCTTTTAAAGAAATTGGAGCATATATATATATATATAATAGGAGTAAGAAGAAGAAGGGGAAATGTCAAATGAAAACTTGTCCAAAGTTTCAAACATTAATTCAAGGACAGCGTAATATTTGCTGCATAGTCTAGTCGCAATAATAATGCAGAAAGAGTCGTATATAAAAAGGTTAAGTATTAAAGTATTTGCATTAAATATTTGTAGGGTATCTCGTTTGACAATTCAACATTTTTTCCTATACGTCCACCTTCAATATAATTCTTTGCATCCCATTTTTTGAGATTATAGAGGGGTAAATATCTTGTGACCTGCTTGAGACTTTCATAATGGAGACCTCATGTTTGAAATTTATTATCAAACAAAAGTAAAGAATTTGTATTCTGGGTGGAATTCATCCCATCGAACTTACCTAGTACGCATTACTTGTTTTGTATGATTTATGACCTATTGCATAGGAGGGGTCTGCTCCTTGTTCACATAACAATTTCTCCATTGAAAAGGGTCAAAACTATCCTTAAACAATTCGAAATAGCTTAAATATACCCTTAAATTATATTTTGGCTCAAAAATATCCTCCCAGTCTAACTATTAGACCACACTTGCCCTTCTGTTTAACAAAAAACATCCATGTGTGTGCTAAAATGTCACATGGACTCCACATGTGCACGCCAAACACACCCCACCTCCACATAGACGATTTAAAGCCCTAATTTCACTCTTTTTCCCTTCATTTCATCCTTTCCTTATTTGGGTATATCTATATGAATATACAATATACATTGACTCAATTCAGTTCCATTTTATCCCGATACTAATATGTTGCACTTTGAAGATCACAACTTAAACAAAATTTAAATTAATTCTGCTATCTAATCCTTAAATCATCTATATATTGAATGTTTCTTTAACTTTTCACAAAATCTAAAACTTCCTTAACAATCATTTAGAGCATCTTCTAGATTAGGGACCACAAAAGCTCAAAATTTGAACAAAAATAGGGTAATCTGTACAAAAAAAATTAAATTAAGAAATCTATAAAGACTTACTTGGTCTTCGTTGATGTAGTAGCAATCAAAGGTGTCATCCCAACCGTTCGTCAAGTTTTCCTCATTAGCGAAATTGCCGACGTTGATGTGGCGGAGCTCGGTCACCACCTCCAGGGAAGCCATTGTAGGCGTCTTCCTTCTGCCTGGAGTTCCGGTGATAAGTATATTATGTCTCTTACGACAACTGCTATTTTGTGCCATGGCCGTGAGTTGAATCAACAAGAAAGCTTCGCTAAGATTTGTTTAAACAAAATTAATTTATTAAGAGAAATTAAAATAATAATTTAGTGTTAATTGATTAATTAAAATGAGTGTGTTTATATTATACCTTAGATCGTTTCTTTTATTGTGTTTGAAATGGTCATCAAATTGCAATTTTTCTACTTCATTCGGTTACGTATACAAGTTTCCGCAAATATTTTTTCTTTTTTTGGTTCAATATATACTTTACAGGATGAAATGAGGGGAAAAAAGAGTGAAATTAAGGCTCTAAGTCATCTATGTGGAGGTGGTCGGGGTGTGTTTGGCGTGCACATGTGGAGTCCATGTGACATTTTAGCACACACATGGATGTTTTTTGTTAAACAGAAGGGCAAGTGTGGTCTAATAGTTAGACTGGGAGGATATTTTTGAGCCAAAATATAATTTAAGGGTATATTTAAGCTATTTCGAATTGTTTAAGGATAGTTTTGACCCTTTTCAATGGAGAAATTGTTATGTGAACAAGGAGCAGACCCCTCCTATGCAATAGGTCATAAATCAT